AGTTCTCCAAGTTTCATGTTTGAACCCCACAACCAGAGGTCTGTATGAAGAGAGAGTCCTGGAGAAAGGGAGATGGGTTGGATGGGGGATGAAGAGATGACAAGGGAAGAAGGAGGGTTCTAGAACCTTCTAGGCAATAGCCAGTTACAGGTGGCTCACGCCTGTCATTCTAGCTACTCAGGAAGCTGAGATCTGAGGATCTCAGTTCCAAGCCAGCCTGGGCAGGAAAGTCTGTGAGACTCTGATCTCCAATGAATGATCAAGAAGCTGGCAGTGGAGCCGTGGCTCAAGTGGTAGAGCACTAGGCTGGAGCAAAAAAGCTCAGGGTCAGTGCCAAAGCCCTGAGTTCAAGCCCCACAACTGACAGAGAGACGGAGACCGAGAAACAGAGGCTGGGGGAGGGAGGTCAGGCACTGGCTGAAGTCCCATCGTGACCTGAGGGAGAGGCAGGGGAGGATGAGGAGGCGGGGGAGGGGAAGGAAGCCAGGGTGCAAAGGAAATCGCGGGGCGGGGGGCAGAGGCCTGGGGGAGGGCGGGCCGCTCTGCACCCCTGCCCGGGAGTGTTTTGGAAGGAGGCTGAGGCCTCCCTCCCATAGCGCACTGGGTGCCCCAGGGACAACGGTTGCAAAACAACGTCTCTGTGGCAGCTCGAACTTTCAGATTTACTCAGAGGCAGGAGAGTGACAAGATGGCCGGGGACACAAGCCAGCATTTGTCTCCTCTGAGAGGTGCAGATGTTCCTCCCCTCCCACCCTACCCCTCCCCACCACCCCCCATCCTGGAATCCAGGCTCCAAAGATGGGGGGGGGCCCCCCCGGGAGCATTCCCTGAGTCCCAGGTAAGCTGGGCCAAGGCAGAAGCCCCAGGGAAGGAAGGAAGAGCCTTCCAAGCTGCAGGGAGAGCATGTGCAAAGGGCCTGGGGTACAAGAGAATGAGGCAAGGTGAAGAACCGATAAAAGGCCCAGGAAAGCTGTACTAGAAATGGAGGGAGGGGTAACCTGGGTTGACCTTTAATTTATTTATTTACTTATTTACTTTGTGCTGGTTCTGGGCTTTGAAGGTAGGGCCTATGAATTGTGATCCTCAGATCTCAGTAGCTAGGATGACAGGCATGAGCCACCCGGCACCCGGCTAGCAAACCGTGTTTTTGAAGAGCTGAACTGTCGCTAAAAATTTCTGATGTTCAGTGGTGGGTGGGGCCTGCGGTGTGGCTTGGTGACCGGTCTCAAGGGGCCCTCCTCCTGTCCCGGCAGGCTCCATCTGCCACTACTGTGTCACTAGGGCCTCAGACCCACCGCCGTAGCCAGCCCTGATGGCTCACGCCTATAGTCCCAGCTACTCAGGAGAGGCTGAGATCTGAGAGTTAAGGTTCAAAGCCAGCCTGGGCATGAAAGTGCATGAGACTCTTTTTTTTGGTTGGTCGTGGGGTTTGAACTCTGGGCCTGGGCGCTGTCTGTGAGCTCTTCAGCTCAAGGCTAGCGCTCTACCACTTAAGCCGAAGCGCCACTTTGGATTTTCTGGTGGTTCACTGGAGATAAGAGTCTCACGGATTTGTGTGTGTGCTGGGGCTGGGGCTTGAACTCAGGGCCTGAGCATTAAACCTTAGCTTTTTCTGCCCAAAGCTGGCACTCTGCCGCGTGATGCCACATCTCCACTTCCAGATATGTGCAGATGGATGAGAAATAAGAAGCTCATGGATTTGTCTGCCTTCGAACCTGGATCTGCAGATCTCAGCCTCCTGAGTAACTGGGATGACAGGTGTGAGCCACCGACCTTCCCCCCACCCCCACCCCACCCCGGGAAGATGCCTCTAAACACAAACCTGTGGGTAAAACAGCTTGGACTTTGGCATCAGGCATTCCGGGGACCCCACCAGCCCTCAGCCTGTCAGAAGCGCAAGGTGCATACGTCAGGCTCGGGTAGACTTAGCCAGAAAGGAAGAGCTCAGGATGGGTGAGATGTAATAAGATGCTCGTGCTCGAAGCTCCATGATGCCTTGTAAGTCTTCCAAAGGCAAACGGGCTGCCTAGGCCTGGCAGGTGTGACAGGTAAATGGGGAAGGGAAAGAAGGGAGGAGGGGAGGGGCAGGGGTGTGGAAGGAAGAGAAGGGTACAGACCTTGTCACTAGAGGAACACTTGGAAGATGTTCCCCTCACTTCCTTCCCCAATGGCTCCAACCACAAACCAGTATAGCCATAGGGCCAGGACGGTCCGGGGTGACCAGGGCCATTCATTAAGAAGGAAAGGCCTCACCGAGGGGAAGCTGGCGGGCTGGGCCCTTTGCCCAAGAGGAAGCTCAGGAAGACAAGCCAGCTCAGAGGCTGGGGACACAGGACCAGGGTCTGCAAGCTGACATTGCAGATCCGGGAGGTTGTGGCTCAAGAGCAACTCTGGACCAAAGAAGAGTTTGCAGGACCGATGCAGCAGCGGCTGGCACGGTGGCCTCCAGCTGCGGCGCCCAGCGACGGGGCTGTGGGACAGCAATGCAAAAGTCGCCTTGGCCTGGTGCCTCACGCCCATCAACCCAGCCACTCAGAGGCTGCGAGCTGAGGATCGTGGTTCAAAGCCAGCCTGGGTGATAAAGTCCCTGAGACTCTTATCTCCAATAAACTACTCCGAAAAAGCTGGAAGTGGCGCTGTGGCTCAAGTGGTAGAGTGATGCTAGTCTAGAGCACAGAGAAGCTCAGGGATAGAGCCCAGGCCCTGAGTTCAAGGCCCAGAACTGGCCAAAAATAACAGAAGAACCAGGTAAAGGTGGCTCACGCCTGTCATGCTAGCTCCTCAGGAGGCTGAGATCTGAGGATCACGGTTCAAAGCCAGCCTGGGCAGGAAAGTCTGTGAGACTCTTATCTCCAATAAACCACAGAAAATCAGAAGTGGTGCTGTGGCTCAAGTGGTAAGTGCTAGCCTTGAGCTGAAGAGCTGAGGGACAGCGCCCAGGCCCAGAGTTCAGGCCTCACAACCAACAACAGCAATAAAAGACAAGTATGGAAAGCAGCCGGGGAAGGGCAGTCCAGTGGAGCGCTGGTGGAAGGGTCTAGAAGGAACACGCACAGAGACAAGGAAAGGGCACCCAACTGGGACGCTTGCTGCCAACTAAAAGGCGGATTTCAGCGACAGAGGAAAGGTGGCCAGCCTCCATAGCTGGAGGCCTCATTTCCCCGGGGGAGAAACTGAGGCCTGGGGAGGGGAGGTTGAGTCAGAGGCAGCAGAAGTGTCGTGCCACAAGGGTGAGAGACAAAGCCTTAGCACTGGCAGTCAGGGCTCAAGGTGACGTGTGTGTGTGTGTGTGCACGCGCGCGTGCATGTGCCAGTCCTGGGACTTGAACTCAGGACCTGGCATTGTCCCTGAGCTCTTATTCCCCCCTCCCTCCCCCGCTTCAAGGCTAGTGCCTTAAGCCATAGCTCTGCTTTTGGCTTTTTTCAGTGGTGATTAGACTAGCCTCACAGACTTTCCTGCCTGGGGCTGGCTTCGAACGACAATCCTCCCATTTCAGCCTCCTCCGTAGCTGGGGTTACAAGGGTGAGCTACTGCTCCCGGCTATCACGGTAACCCTCTCACACAAATGGTCCACGGCTCAACGTAACTGCGGCTTGGTGCTCATGGAGGTGCTTCCTAGCTCAGATCCGAGGAGCCCGGGCCGTTCAGGGCTTCCAGGCGCGTCTCCAGCGCTCGGCCGTGCTGGGGTGTGTTCCCCTCGGCTGGCTTTGTTTTTTTCTGGTAGTCTGGGTGTGTCTCATTGCTAAATCCTGGCCTGTGTAACCAGCACTTGAGAGCTTAGCTGTCTTCTTCTTATCTAACTTCTAGGCCCTGGTGAATTGCTAGGTGGGCCTCAGGAAGGTGGTGATTTGGGAGTCTTCTCCTCTTCGTCCAGCTCCCCGGCTCCCCTGCCCTGCCTGGTCCAGCTGGTTTTTGCTGAGTGGGCATTCTTTCCTGTCTCCTCCAGCTCACGTCCTGGCATCCGTCCTAGCCTGAAATTTCAGCAGCGTCTTCTTTTCCAAAGTGGCGCAGAGGGGAGGGTTGATTGGGGGTGTCTCATCCCACGGAAGGTATTTTGGTTTTGTTTATTGGCTTTTGTTGTTGTTGGTTGTGGGACTTGAACTCAGGGCCTGGGCGCTGTCCCTGTGCAATTCTGCTCAAAGCGAGCGCTCTACCACTTTGAACCACATTTCCAGTTTTCTGGTGGTTCATTGGAGATAAGCATCTCAGGGACTTTCCTGCCCAGGCTGGCTTTGAACCGCGATCCTCAGATCTCAGCCTCCTGAGTAGCTAGGATGACAGGGGTGAGCCACCAGCGCCCAGCACTTGAAGGTGTTTTGTTCAAACTAAACCAAACCTAGGTGTGTTTGTGGGTTGAGGGAGCCCATTCCAGTGGCCTCAGCCTGTGCCTTGCTACTTACCCATCCTTCCTACCTCTGTCCTCTCCGCCTCTAGGACTTGGCGCTGTGCCTGTCCTGTCTGAGCATTTGGGGACAGGTTCTGGGGTGGTCTGGGGGCAGCTGGGGCCAGATATTGAAGGTCTGTAAGAACCCAAGAATCTTAACTCACGCCTGGCATCCCAGCTCCTCAGGAGGCTGAGATCTGAGGATCGCGGTTGGAAGCCAGCCTCGCAAGATTCTTAGCTCCAAGGAGCTAACAAAAAGCTGGAAGTAAAGCTGTGGCTCAAGTGGTAGAGCACCACCCTTGAGTTTAAAAAAGAAACTCAAGGACAGTGCTCAGGCCCTGGATTCAAGCCCTAGGATGGACACACACACACTCACACACACACACACACACACACACACAATCTTCGTCGCGGTTGGAGCTGGGTAGGTGACAAACCTCAGGGGTTCCTAAGCCACAAACTCTCTAACTTGATGGTTCTGAGAATCCAGTGCTCAGGACCTGAGCAGGAGACAGGCAGGGGCAGGCGGCAGGGTGGCAGGTGACGGGCGGAGCTTTCTAGAAGCTCTTAGCAAGCCGCACTTCCTGTGGGTGCGGGCTCAGGGCCTGCCCTGGGCGGGAGGGGCCAGGAGGTTGCACAAACCTTCCTGTGCGGGCCCCAGGCCGCCTGCTTCACCTCTCCTGGCCTCACCTCGCCGGGCCTCCCGGGGCTCTGCCTCCTCTCTGGCTGGCATCTTCCTCGGCTGTGGATCTATGGTGGAGGCTGCTGGCCCCGGACACAACCCCGTCCTCAGCCGGCTGCTGAGTCAAACTCCAAGCTCCTCCCTTCCCTCCTGTAGTCACCGCCGAGCCGGGGAGAGCCGGGGGCTGCTGGCTGGCGTCCACCCCGCCCGAGACCCGAGAGGGGGACACACTGGGCCATGATCACGCAGCTGCACTTCCGAGATGCCTTCTGGGTAAGCGGCCAGCCGGGCCATCAGCTGGGGACAGAACGAAGGGGGGGCTTGGGTCCCCCGGCCACCCGGGATGGGGCATGCGCTGTCTCATAAACCTTGGGGGTCTTGTGATGGCTGCATCAGGGGTGCTCCTGAGAGCTAGAGGATTTGGGGGTGTATGTGAGGGTGGGGTGGATCATCCAGCACCCCTACCCCTGCACACAGGACCATCTTCCATGCTCCTAGGGCGGAGTTTTCTCGGGGAGCCCCTGTCCCGTACCCCAGGAGCTCCTGTGTGTGTATGGGGGGGGGTGCTTGAATCTTGATCCTCAGAGCCTCAGCCTCCTGAGCAGCCGGGATTACAGGCGTGAGCTGCCACACCCGGCCGATGGGAAGAGTTTCCCGTAGATGGGGCTGGAAGAGGACCCAAGGCGGTGGGCTCAACAAAGGACAGACCGCACTCTTGGGGACTAGACAGACTTGAGTTCAGCTAGACTGCCTTGTTATTGACAGTCTGAGTTAATTTTCTGTCCCCGAGCCTCCGTTTCTCCCTCTCTCTCTGTATGGTGGAAATCCATGCACTGAAGTACGGGTTTCCTGCCAGACCCCAGCACGGGGCGATTTTCTTCCCTCATCCAACCCGTTTCCCTGTGAACCTTGGGAGACATCCGTCCAGGAATGACAGCCTCCTATCAGTGCTGGGGGCGAGTGGTGTGGTGAAGCTGTGTAGTCTGGGCTCCTGTGTGCATTTTCCACTTGGTCTCAGCTTTCCCCAGCGGCAAGCTGACGGCTTTCTGCTGAGAACCAGCGCTTGTTCCTGCCTCCCGCTTTGCCAGAGGAGACTGATCAGCACTGGCCTGGAGGATGGGAGACACTGAGGCAGGCCCGGCCTTCCCGGCTCTGCCTGGGGCCAGGGCCGGCTGTGTGAGTGACCTGTTGTCGGTACTGAGGGCACCGAAGGTCTCTCCTGGGCAGGGCATGGGTGGGCTGTCTGGGCCTCAGTTTCTCTACATTTAGTTATTTCTGTGCTGCTTCCGGGTCTTGAACTCAGGGCCTGGGCGCTGTCCCTGAGCTTTTGTGCTCAAGGATGGCGCTCTACCACTTGAACCACAGCGCCACTTCCAGCTTCTTGGTAGCTCCTTGGAGATAAGCGTCTCACAGACTTTCCTGCCTGGGCTGGCTCTGAACTGCGATCCTCAGATCTCAGCCTCCTGAGTGGCCGGGATGACAGGCGTGAGCCACAGCGCTCGGCTTTCCTTGGCTTTATAAGGAAAAGTGTGGAATCAGTTCATGAGCTCAAGGAGCTCGCAGCCCGGGCTGGCAGCGAGGACCCCGGGCGAGGGGCCTGGGGGTCCCACATCGCTGCTCTGGCTTGGGCTGTAGTCCAAAGTTGGGGAGAGGTGTAAGGGCCTAGAACTCCAGATCGCGACACCCCAGAGCTGCCCAGGGACTCTGACCAGTTGAGTTCTACTGTCTCAACCCAGAGCCCCCCTTCAACGTAGGGGAGGGGTCCGGACAGGAAGATGGCGCACAAGGAGCAGGAGGAGGTGACCCCCAAGCCCTCCGCGCTTCCTGGGGACAACTCAGGCCACTGCGGGTGTCATCTTATCTGTCCCCAGGGTTTGCTCAGGAAGACCCGCACATGATAACAATGTTGTTGCTGTTTATTTGTTGGATCCCAGGCTCTCGTGCTCTGTTTCCCGACCTGCTCACAGCTGGTCCTCTACCACTTGAGCCGTACCTCCAGCTAAGCTTTTTGCTGGTTAATGGGATACAGAGTCTCTTGAAAAAAGACTTTTCTTGGATGAGCTAGTTTCAAACTTGGATCCTCCAATCTCAGCCTCCTGAGTAGCTGGGATTACAGGTGGGAGCCGCCGGTACCTGGGACCCCAATTTCTTTCTGGGTTTAGTAATACTTAGCTTTCCCCCCAAAGCTAATGGATATGATGTGTACATCTTCGATCGTCTTCTGATTGATGGATGGATGGATGGATTGACTGAGGCTTAAATTCTGGGTTTCTGGCTCTTATTGTATTTTTTTGCTCGAGGCTGGTGCTCTACCACCTGAGCCAGACCTCCATTTCTGTCTTTTCACTGGTGACTTGGAGATCAGATTGCTCTGACCCAACCTCCTCAGTAGTTAGGATTACAGGCATGAGCCCCTGTTCTCCACCCCCCACCCCCCACCGTGGCATTTGTACTAAGAATGTTCCAGACACCATCTTCAGGGCTGTGTATGTATCCACCAGTTTCACCGCCCAGCACCAATGGACTAGAGGCTTTCATTCCTCTGGTTATTCACATGAGGCCCAGAGAACTTGACAGACTTGTCTGCAGTCACACAGCCGCTCCTCCTGGAAGCCATTGTGCAACAGCCTCAGGGGTCGAGATGGGGAAACCGAGGCAAAGGGCTTCCCCCGAGGCAGGAGGACCCGGTGAAGTGGACAGAGGAGCTTTTTGGCTGGTCCTCCCCACCCCTCTTCTGGTCCATCCTCACAGCTCCACGTCTAGCTTTTTGCTGCTTACTTGAAGATAAAGAGTCTCGCAGACTTTCCAGAGCAGGCTGGCTCTGTGCACCACAATCCCCAGAGCTCAGCCTCCTGAGCAGCCGGGATGACAGGTGTGCGCAGCAGTGCCCGGCTGAGAAGTTCATCTATTTTACTTGTACTGCAGGGCGCCAGGAGTCTTGGCCTCTGTAATTTAACCCCATGTGCGTGCACGTAGCGGGTTACAGAAGTAGCTGCCTGGGGACCAGGCCCCCCTAGGTGACTTACAGGTGGGCGGCAAAAGAGACGGAAGTCGCTCCCCGCGGTTCAGAATTGGGGTGCAATGGGGGAATTGACTCCTGCGGCATTCGGGGGGCAGCCTGCAGGGGTGGGGTGCCGTGGGGTGCCCTGGCTGGCTGCGGGAGGGGAGGAGAGGGATCATTTCTGCTCTGCACCCTGCCGTAAAATCACCAGCTGCTCGGCAGGAAGTGTGTGGCTGAGGCTCAGAGCCTGGCCTATCTGTGAGATGAGGTCCATGGGAAGAACACAGAACTTACCACAGACAGGAACCTCCAGCTCCACAGCTCGCCCCATCTCTAGGTCCTAAGCATAAGCAAGAGCTAAGCACCGGTGGCTCACGCCTGGCATCCCAGCCACTCAGGAGGCTGAGATCTGAGGATCATGCGCGGTGCAAAGCCAGCCTGGGCAGGAAAGTCCATGCTGTGACTCTTAGCTCCAATGAAGCAGCAAAAAGCCGGAAGTGGCGCCGTGGTTCAAGTGGTAGAGCGCCACCCTTGAGCCAAAAAGCTCAGGGACAGTGCCTAGGCCCTGAGTTCAAGCCCCAGGACTGGCACACACACACACACACACTGTGCAAGCCAATCCAGTCCATGCCTCCAGTCCAGCTGTACACTTATTATTTTCTTTGCATAAGTTCTCACTTCCTGTCCAGGCTTGTGTGTGTGTGTGTGTGTGTGTGTGTGTGTGTGTGTGTGTGTGTGAATGCGCACGCACACACATCCTGGGGTTTGAACTCTGGGCCTATCCCTGAGCTTATTTTTCTTCTTTTTTGCTCAAGGCTAGTGCTTTACCACTTGAGCCACGGCACCACCTTGGTGCATTTCGTTGGTCCTTTGAAGATCAGAGTCTCACAGGACTTTCCTGCCTTTTGAACCTCTATCTTCAGGCCTCGGCCTCCTGAGTCGCTAGGATGACAAGCGTGAGCCACTGGTGCCTGGCTCCATCTGCCTACTTTAAGCGGGGATTACAGGTGTGCATCACTGTGCCCAGCTTCTGTGGAGATGGAGTCTCACAGACTTCTCCCCTCCCACTTAGAATGGGAGGAGAGCCACCTTTCTTCCAGGGACAACCTGGAGTTTGAACCTGTGGCTCTCAGCCTCTCCAGTAACTAGGATTGCAGGCAGGAGCAACGTGGTCCTGGTTTGCAATGTGTGTGTGGGGTGGGGGGGGGCAGTACTGGGGCTTGAAGTAAGTCAGAGTCCCATGATCTCCCTTGGCTTTTTTTCCACCCAAGGCTAGCGCTCTACCACTTGAGCCACACCTCTACTTTGGGCTTTTTGGTGGTTACTTGGAGATAAGAGTCTCTCCAAGGTTTGTTTTTTTTTGGGTCCGGTCTTGGGGCCTGAACTCTGGGCCTGGGCGCTGTCCCTCAGCTCTTCAGCTCAAGGCTAGCGCTCTACCACTTGAGCCACAGTGCCACTTCCGGCTTTTTTTCTTTTTGCTTATGTGGTGCTGAGGAATCGAACCCAGGGCCTCGAGCATGCAAGGCAAGTGCCCTACCACTGAGCCACCTTCCCAACCCTCTCCAAGGTTTTTCTTCGCCAGGCTGGTTCAAACTATGATCCTTAGCCAAGCACTGCTGGCTTACGCCTGTCATCCCAGCTACTCGGGAGGCTGAGATCTGAGGATTGTGGTTCAAAGCCAGCCCGGACAGGAAAGTCCATGAGACTTTTATCTCCAATGAACCACCAGAAAACCAGAAGTGGCACTGTGGCTCAAGTGGTAGAGCACTCGTCTTGAGCTGAAGAGCTCAGAGACAGCGCCCAAGCCCAGAGTTCAAGCCCCACAACCGACAAAACCAAACCAAACCGCGATCCTCCCGGCTCAGCTGGGATTACAGGTGTGAGCACTGGTACCTGGCCCTGACTCAGGTTCTATTTTTATTTCTGTTGGTTGTGAGGCTTGAACTCAGGGCCCGGGCGCTGTTCCCAGCTCTTTTGCTCAAGGCCAGCGTTCTACCACTTAGAGCCACAGCGCCACTTCATTGCCCATGGAGATCAGTCTCGTGGACTTACCTGCCCAGGCCTTGAACCACGATCCTCAGATCCAGCCTCCTGAGTAGCAGGGATGACAGGCGTGCCCGACTCCGGCGTGGCTCGGGTTTTATGGAGATGCACACCACCTTGCTGTGGGGATAGTTAAGGAAAGGTAAAGGTTGAATGAGGCTAGCCACGTGCTCATCTATGCACACGCTCCTGCACGTGTGCGCTTGCTGTGGGTGGGCTAAGGTTGAAT